GATGGTCTCCCAATCGTAGTTGATCTTTGTGGTCCACACTTCGTCAAAATTTGTCTGATTACTTCAAGTCGAAAATCAGATAGATCAGAGGAAATATTGTTCTACATTTTTTGAATAACAAATGCATTGTACACTGGCATATGCAAAACATGGAAAAATAGCTTCTTGTACCATTTTAGTGACTGTTTTGGAATGTGCTAGAATGAGAGATAGTGTGTACTGTCATACAGAACGAAAGAAAGCACATAGAATATAAATATGTATTATTAATAAGCAGAAAGGGAAGAAATGAGGATTACTCAAGAGTCGTAACATCAAATAAAACGAGTGAGAGGCGTTATAAACAATTAAAAACTATATCAGGAGTATCTTTGTCAAATAATTGCATTTGGACGCATATATGCGTCGTCGGGGCTCAAAGGGTTAAATTATATGTAAAAAACCCTTTCAAAACATATACAATGACTGGTCTTTTGTCGATAAAATCCTATAGAATTATATTGGAACTGTAAACATCGACTTCACTAGATGCAATCGTGTTGACAATAGAGATGAGCACAGGACAAGATTTTCTGTCCTGTCCTGTGCTCAGCTCTGGTTTACAATGAACTATACAAAAAATACTCAAAATAAATCTTAAAAAGAATTTACTCGCTCTGGTTCAAATTTTCAACTTCTATTGATATTTATATATTAATGAAATTATTTTAATATTAATCGTAAAGAATTCTTGTTTATTATTGTTTCTGTTTGTCAAAGAAACTTTTGCATACGTTTTGATCGGTCCAGGATGATCGTCGTAAAATGAAACTAACCGACCGAATCATATTGGCTTGAGCGTTGTGAAGTCATCCAAACGAAATTGTGTCTCAGCTTGACACCGATTACATTTTCCTTGTAAATATAATGAAGAATGCATAAGCTTATTGGTGAAAACAAATTTTTATTTTATATACAACGGTTGATAAGAACGGATAAAAACAATCGTATACAAAAAATGACATCAAAAGCTCCGTATAAGCGAACATTCACAAAAACAAGAAAAAATACAAAAACTAGCATATTCGCGACTGTATAAATGGAAAATATTTATTCACATTTTCGTGTATTAGTAGACAAGTAACTAAAGGCGTAGTAGATATACCAGTCATTCACCTTTTTATGTACCCAAAAAGTGAGTCTTATTCATTTGCCTTAACAGCGGTCCACAAATCGTATCGTATTATGTTTCAGTCATGAGGTTGCGTGTGGAGATTTTTTTATGATTGAAGTCGATGGAGCCCATCGAGTTGTGTATCTGGAGGTGAGGAAACGAGTTCTTGAATGTTTTTCTGAAATTTTCATCCTTTTAAGGCTTTTTTGGGATTTTTTATTTCCCTTTTCTGAGAGAAAGGATTATACAGCATTTAGATGCTGTGCTAAAAAGCTTAAAGTTTGTCTGTCTGTCCTATTCAATCAGAAATGAGCATTTCTAAAATCAATGAAATTGATCGATAGTTGTTAGAAAATGATTACCGGTACGATAATCGAGATCGGGGAACTTCAATCTGAGGTTAGCTTTAACTAATTATTAATTAACTATGCATAGAATAATAATGTTCACACTAAGGGTTGACCGAAGGGTAATCGATGCCGTAGAATTCAAATCTGAGCTTAGTTTTTTTCTTATTCACCAAGCTTACACTTCTTCCTTTCTTGTTTCAAAGGAGATATTTTTCTGTGTTTTTTAAAAATTCTGTTGTAAAAGGTAATTGTTTGAACACAATTCCCGGATGTGATATGTACAACGGCAGTAGTTTACGGAGCCTACATAAAAAGATCTGGTATATCTCACATTATGATATTAGTAATTTAACCCTTCCCAGCCGGATATATCCATATGGATACATTTTGCCGTAGCGGGAGGAGGGGAGGTACAGTATTCTTTGAATAGCCGGCCGGAAAGATTTGATGCGTTATAGTGTTTACCAGGAAATTCTATGTTTTCGGTACCAACTAATTTCCCGGAAATTGAATTTCTTGATCAGACAAACCGAACAGTACAAATAGTTATAATGCTCATATAGGGCACAGACACCCACCCGGTACCCTCACTGAGAGAAATCCCTACCGACACCCACCTCACACCCTCGCCCTCCAGATGCCCTATATGAGCATTATAACTATTTGTACTGTTCGGTTTGTCTGATCAAGAAATTCAATTTCCGGGAAATCAGTTGATACCGAAAACAGATAGAATTTCCTGGTAAACACTATAACGCATCATATGGTCACTTAGAAGAGATAAAATAAGTGGAAGTAAATTAATTTTTTATTTTAACTAGTCGAAAGAAAGTCGATGAATAAATGTTTCGAAACAGTATTTATTTTGCTGACATATTTGGGCAAACGAATTGGAGGTAATTTGACATGAATAAAGTAGAAGGAGGTAAAATGGAGGAATGTGCATAAAAGAGACTTCAGTTCGTAGCCGATTAGATTGAGATTAAAGTGAGGATTTTTATCTACTATTTTTCTAACTCTTTCAAAAAAGAGTCAACGAATGGGCGTCACTTCTTTGTTATCCAGCTTAAATGAAATTTATCTTTTTTAGATTTTCTTTATCGTTTTGATAAATAATTGCATTTTTAACTATCTGTACGTGTCATCTGACAACTCTTGAAATGGATACGAATAATGGCACAGCAATTAAGTTACGGTAGGAGTGTTATTTTACATTCACATTTTTCGAGTGACTACTACAGTTTTGTGTTGGTTGCCAATAAGAAACATACTATAGTCAGATTTATGTCTTGATCAATAATAGAATATGCAATATCTTCTATAAGAAAATATTTTCATTTTTTTTACAGGAAACGAACGCCACTGGCTTTTTTATGTTGCTTAATGTGTATTCCTTGTGTAGCTGCAATTGCTATTGTGCTCAGTTTAATTCCAACATACATATCAAGAAGTGATTTCACTGTTACTAACAATGCTTCACGTACGAACTCACTTTTTTCCATATTAATCTGTATTAAACTTAATTTCTTTATTTTTAGTCAGCGAAATGATAAGTGTCTCTTATGGAACTAATTTTAAAAGTACTGATACAGTAGTAGCTGCCAATGCTGACAGTTTAGCTGCTCTAGTATACTGTTTCATATTAATAGAATTTTACATTTGGTTATTTTTATTTCACAGTTAACAGCACAATATCCAAATGTTATTGTTACTACAGCCAAATTTGTATTCATTTCATCAGTATCAACAAATACGTACAAGAAACGACGAGACATCGAGTACATACTTCTAACTGCTCTAAAATTGAATATATTTTTTATTTCTAGATCAAAAGCTCAACAATGTACCATAGATTCGGGCACATCAGGGGACTATCTCTTTATTAGATTTATATTGAAACCTAAATCTACATGTCTCTCGAATAATTGTCAAAAGACATTCCGTGAAACATTGACAAAAGTTGAAACGGCTTTGCGTGAACAAACACAACTACTGCTGACAACGGTTAATGGTTCAACAATTACAATTGGACTCACATTCTGTTCGTTTAGTGAGATTCAACCAGGTATTTATCGTCATGTTTATTCACATAGTCTGTCTCTCGGATTGAAACAGGACATATAAAAAAGATGTCATCCTATTTTTATTGATCGCGTTCAATTATTTTCTCATGACATTTATATATATGTTAGATCTTTGTGAATAGATTTTTTCACGACTAAGTTTATAACCGTGTGCAATATTCCTTCTTCGTTTTTTTTTACAGTTATTTTAGTGTCAACAACTACAACGATGCAAACAATATCTACAACAAAAGGTGAGTGTCCTATCTAAGATATATGTAGTTAGAAGAGGTTTGTATGTGTATGTCGCAGACTAATTCGCTGAATGATACGACAGGTATCGCGGATTGAGAAATGCACTTCATGAAAAATATGAATCACATCCCGTCTCCAAAATATTATTGATTTTCTTTCAAAATTGTTGAGAATAACTGATATGAGCTAGACATAAATATAAATATATATCAAAATAAAAAACATTCATAAGTGAGAAATCATAAATATCGCATACACCTACACTCTCTTAGGATTTCGACAAGGTTTAATACCCGAATTAGTCGACTTAAGATTAAATGAGACTAATTACATTTTTATACAGTCATCATACCACTAACGACAACAACAATAACAACTACTACTACCATTACCAGCACAACGACAACGACAACTACTACTACCACTCCCAGCACAACGACAACAACAACTACTACCACTACTACTACTACAACCACAACAACATCTAAGCCAACAGGTGCTACTTGTTCTGTTGATTATACTATATCTGACGGCACTACTGGTTCTACTAATTGTAACACCTATTGTACTAAAGGTGGTTTTGACACTGTCATCAACCCTGTTCCTGTTAGCAACGACGGCTCTTGTCGTACGTCTTTTTCCGGAACCAGTTTCGCGAGTAGCCGTCGTCGTCGAGGAATGATGACACCTTCCACAATAAATCTCAGTAATAAGGGTATTTGCACTTCTAATACAAACTTTTATTGTTGCTGTCAAGCAAAAACACCAGCGTGAAGCTAGCACGAAGAATCGATGTGCTAGCTTCACAATGATAGCAAATGTTTAAACAGACTTTAAAATATTTAATGTATTTAAAACTGCGTTTCTTCTGCTTTTACAAGTGATCTGTGCGTTTTTTTTCATCTTATTGAGTAGAATAAACTAACAATTATTAGTTTTTAACATTTTTAGATGTTAAGAAAAGTGTAACATAAAATAATGAATATAGAAATATTAGTCATTCAAAATATTTTGATTTTTCTTCTTATTAACATCAAATCCATTCATTCGCAAGATATTTATGATAATGAAGATAATTTCACTTTTAATTTTACTATGAAGAATGTGACAACAAAAGAAGTAAATATGATTATAAAACGACGATTATAAAAATAATTCTTGACATCTTTAGGGAGATCAACAAGTATATATCCAATATAAATTACCTGATGAAAAATTGATGATTAGTAAGTTTGAAATTTTACTTATCGAGAAAATGATTTACTTTCAAAAACTGAAGTTGATTTTAAACCATTGGTTAATATGAATACAGCTCATCATATACTCACATTGGCTTGCGTTACTCCCACATCTAATGAATCTATTTGGTATTATTTAATAATTTGACTTTAAAAATTAAACAGTAAAATTATTTTTATAGGTTTGATGGAACAGCATGCAGAAATAAACAAATGATTATTTATGATTGGTCAAGAAATGGATCTTCATTAGCATTACCTAAAGGTGTTTTTCACTAGATAAGAAAGAAAAATCATAATGTTATTCTATTAAGATACTGGTTTTGTTGTTGGTCATAATACATCATATAAATATCTTGTAATGAATATTCATTATTTACCAATTATTACCAATGATAATTCTGGTATCCAAATTCTTTTTACTCGAAAGATGTAATAAATAATTTCAAATACCGTTACCACCTTTTTCTAGATAAGATTTCATTTTTATCTTATAGGCGAAAGTATCATGCAGGAATGTTTTTAGCTGGTACATCGAATATCACTTTACCACCAAGAACACAAGGTACTCGAACAAGGTTTTTACGTATCTTTTATCCTACTCAAATTGAATTCTCTAGATATTCGAACACCCTTTTCATGTCGTTATCTTGGACCTACAATATCCATATTTGCTCTTCACTATCATACACATCAATGGGGTTCGATTTTTTTGTATATATTTATGGAAGATCATTGAAACTATTTATTGTCATAGGAAGGGTATCTTCAATATATCGAGTACGAAATAAAACTATTTTACAGATTGGTAAAAGTAATCCACAATGGCCTCAATCATTTTATCCACTTTCATCATCTATACAAATTGAAAAGAATGATTTTATTATTGGTCAATGTGTTTATGATAACAATGATGATAGAATTATTAACATCGGGTAAGATCGAATAATTTTATATACAAAAGAATAGATTTTATTTGGGAAAATTAGACAAAGACATGATGATGAAATGTGTAATATATATGCAATGTATTCATATGAGCCAACTGTACTAAATAATAATAAATGGGAAGGATTTAATCCTTTAATTGAATTTTGTTGGGGAGAATATTCCGGTAATATAACGAGGTAAAAATTAATTTTTATATATTCATACAATATCTACTTTTGATATATATATAGGCTAATTCCATCTGATAGTGTCATTATTCCAGACAAACCATATACTATTGAGCAAATACAAAAGAATAATGACATACACATGAAACATACAATAGAATCATCTACTAGTAATTCATAAATTAATTTACGTTTAGTTTATTCAAATATTGAATTTATTTCATTTATTATTTCTAAGGAGATACATATACAGGTGTTGAAAATTGGTCTACAATTCGATTCTTATTAACTGATTTGAAACATCTTCAGGCGATTACAATTAACAAAACAAAACTATATTTTTTTCTCATCATATGTTTGATTATATTTTTATCGATTTTGGGTTTTTTGATTGTGTATCATGTGGCTGTTTATAGGTAAATTACGTTTGATTTGAATAATATTAATAACTGAAATAATTTGATGTTTAGTAATTGGAACTATCGATACAAAGGATTTCATAGATTAACACAAAATGAAGAAGAAGACAAATCACAAGATGTTTGCGTCAACTGTGTTATTTAAATGATACTTAATGAAAGAAAGAATATTGACACACGAAACTTAAATAATTAGTTTAGATTTTTATTGAAAATTTATTGAAGAAAAAAGAGAAATTGAAGTAGAAGATAAAATTAAGCGTCTGTTTGTTGTAATTGTTGTATTCTTTCTCGTTTCAAACGGTCACGTTCCATAACACTATCAGTAAGCAAATCAATATCTTTAAGTGGAATAAATTTCGTTTTCTTAACATATTTATAAACGAAAAACATAATAACAAGGATTGGTAAGATCACATAACCAGATAAAAATGTTTGAACATTAAAGACTGTTTTTGTACACGTTGTTGAATTTCCGCTATCGATTAAATATTGATTATTGAATTCAAAAAGATAAGTTTCTTCTTCATGTAACTGAGTACAATTAAAAGTTTTTTGTGTAAATGCTGAATAACCTTGTCCAAAAACACAAAGTAAAATAAGTAGCGATGCCAAAAATGGTCCAACAGGAAAGAATAACGCTTTATAAACCAAATCATTCAATGAATAACCTTGTGCGAGAAATGCTCGACGAAATCTCCAATGTGCAATAGCGATTCCAAACCAAGCAATGAAACCCATAACACTCGTCATATTAACTAACCAAATGTAAATAACTTGATTTCCAACAAATGATAAACCAAATAAAGAAGTTGCTAAAACGGTTGTTAAAATTAAACAATAAATTGGTATTCCACCTTTTGTTAAACGACGAAAGATTTTCGGTGCTTTGCCTTCATTTGCTAAAGTCCAAAATATTCTTGTACATAAATAAAGACCTGAATTACCAGCTGATAAGATTGTTGTTAAAATAACAACATTCATAATATGATCAGCTCCTGGAATACCCGATAGACTAAATACTAATGTAAATGGGGAAACAGCGATACTGTCAACACCATTAATTTGACTTAATTTTTTATCATTATATGGAATAATTAAACCCATAATAAAAATAGCACCAACAAAAAATAAAATAATACGCCAAATTGTTCCATTCATTGCACGTGGAACATCTTTTTTCGGATTGGAGCTTTCACCAGCTGCAATTCCAACTGCTTCTGTTCCCTATATATATTCGATAGAAGATTATATTTGAGAAAAAAAACCGAAATTCTTCGTACTTGAAAAGCAAAACCAGATATAATTGATGTTGTAATAACACCAGCAACTCCTCCAACAAAAGGTGCACCTTCAATTTTCCAATTCTTAAAACCAATTGTTTCTCTTGGTTTTCCAATAGCACCCGAATCAACAAGAACACCAACAAGTAGAAATATGAGTACAGTTATGACCTTAATCATTGCAAACCAATATTCAGCTTCACCATAACCTTTGACTGTAAATGCATTTAATAAAAACATAACTAACATTCCCAGGATTGACCAAATAATTGAAGGAAAATGTGGCAACCAATATTGAACAATGAGACCAGCAGCAACTAATTCACCTGCGATCGTTGTTACCCAAGAAAAATAATAATTGTATGCTAATGCAAATCCAAAAGCTTCATCAACAAATCGACTTCCAAATGTATTAAATGAACCACTTATCGGATATTGTGTTGCTAATTCAGCTTTAAAAAAAAACATAAAAGTCTTTTTCATTGAAGAAATCAAATAATTTTACCTAAACTCGTCATAACGAAATAAACCATAACAGAAATGATTAAATAAGATACTAAAGAGCCACCAGGTCCAGCCGATGCTAAAGCTTGTCCAGATGCTAAAAATAATCCCGTTCCAATCGTTCCACCTAATGCAATCATGATCATATGTCGTTCTTGTAAATTTCGATGTAAATCAACTTTTTCTCCATGAACTAAAACTTCAGTATCAGCATATTCATTTGCATATGGATTATCAACATCTTCAGATGAAGAATTTTTTCGCAAAAAATTTGGAATTAATTTTTTAAGAAATCTTCTCTAAATGAAAACTCATTTGTCATAATGAAAATAAAATAAAAGATTATTACCTGAGAGAAATTTTGATTGAATTGAACATCATTAACAGATGTTTCATCATTGACATTCATAGGTGATCCTGATGGTATAACACTTATCTTTTAAAGAAAAAAGAGAAAAAGTTCAGTTTAAGAGAAAATTTCTCTTATTAATTTACTGGAATTCCGTTTTTATTCAAACTATTTATTGAAGATGAATGTGTTTTCATTTCTGATCTTCTATTTTCAAAATGATGAGGTAAAATAAGTAAAGTTTCTCATTTTTTTCTTATCAATTGTTCTGATAATGCATTATTTTCTTCTTTATCTTTCATTTTATAACATGCACTTTGATTATTACAATGGAGAAAAAAAACTAAACAAATATTTTTCTTTTGGTACTAACAAAAATCTTTTAGAACAAAATGAGTTCTCAAATCGAACAAGATATCATAATTACTTCTTTTTGATAAATTATATTCTTATTGATATCAACATTTTTTTCTTCTTTTTTTCCAACATTTGCACTCTCATCAAGGAAAGGTTTGCATCGTATTAATTATATGCACTCAATTGCATGAAAAATTATGAATATCGAGGTTGTGTAACGCGTTTGGAAAAATTCTATAAACAAACATTCGTTAATCAATGATGGTAGATAAAGATAATTGTATTTCATGTATAACAATATAGTTTCATAGCATTTTTGTTTGACAATAACTCAACAAAAGATGCTGAGGTCCTTGTTTTCTTTTGTCTCTCTTTTTCTCTTCTAAATGGAAAATAATTAGATGAAACTGTTGCATAGAAAAAAACCTCCTATATAAATCAGTTGAAATTTCCTCCAGAAACACTCGTAGAATGACAGACGTGATTTTTTTAAACCTGATTCTACTCTATATACCTACAATTCATACGATTGCTATTGGAATAGTATATGACTACACATATATTGGTACTGAAAATCAGATCTTTTTCAATAAAACATTTGATGAATGTATTTGTCAAATGATTAATTTAAATAACAATTCAATATCTCTTATGAATTATTTTAATTCAAATGAAACGTGCCAATTGTTCAATTTAAATAATAATTCATTGACAATTGAATCTTATTCGAATGTTACAATGGTATTTCTTAATCGAACATCGATTATTGTAACAATAATCTCAACACATGGTAAGTTTAATGAATTTTAACGAGATTTTGAAAAAGCAAAATAATCTTCGTTTTTCTTTATGATATTCTCTCAAATTATAGAATCAACATCCACAACAACTGCATCACTGAAAGGTAAGGCAAAATTAAAATAATTATTTCACTACTTGTCGTTCTTCTATTTTGAAAAATCCTCACGAAAAAGATAAATAGTAATTATGTTGATGTTATATATTTATCAATGCATAATGAACTCTCTTCTCTTATAAATGAAAAATATCGTCTAGTAATTGAAATACTTCGATTTATCTTTCAACATTTGACAGTTTTAATTGAGTAAATTTACCTGATTTTTACTTTTTGACTCTTTAGGATGGACAACGATGAAAAACTTGAATATTGCCCGAAATAAACATACTGCATCAGTTTTATCGAATGGATCAGTATTAGTTGTTGGTGGACAGAATGATAACGCTTTTCTTAACAGTGCTGAACTGTATGATCCATCTACTAATATATGGTCAATAACAGGGAATATGAAAACTACTCGATGTTACCACACTTCATCACTCTTATTAACTGGGATAGTACTAATAACAGGTGGACAAAATAGTGTTGCTTCTCTGAATAGCGTAGAATTATTCAATCTATCTACAGGTAATTGGACAACAACGAGAAATATGAGTATCACACGATACTACCACACAGCATCACTCTTACAAAACGGAAAAGTATTAGTTGCAGGTGGTTCTGCTAATAGTGGTTATGTCAACAGTGCTGAATTGTATGATCCATCGATAAACACTTGGTCAACTACAGGAAATATGAATTCTGCAAGATTTAGACATACTGCATCAGTTTTACTTAACGGAACAGTCTTAGTTGCAGGTGGATATAATAATAATGCACCTCTGTATAGTGTTGAATTATATAATCCATCTACAGGAAATTGGACAACAATGGCGAATATGACTGTTGCACGATATTCTCATACCGCATCTCTTCTACAAAATGGAAAAGTGTTAGTTATTGGTGGTTATGGTAACAGTAATTCTCTGAACAGTGCTGAATTATATAATCCTTCAACAAATAGTTGGATAACAACATCGAGTATGACAACTGCGCGATACTTTCATACAGCGACTGTTTTATTGGATGGAACAATTTTAGTAACAGGTGGACAAAGTCAAAATAATGTTTATCTCAATAGTGCTGAATTATACGATCCATCAACAAATAATTGGACAATACTATCGAATATGAGTACTATACGACATTCTCATACCGCATCACTTTTATTTGATGGTACTATATTAGTTGCAAGTGGATCAAATGGAAATGTTTCTCTGAATACAAATGAATTATATTGACAACATTTTATTCGAAAATCTAAATATTGTAATTTTTTTCATTGAATTCAAAATATTGAAAATAAAATCATTTCATAAAATTTAGAAATTTGAAGTATTTTGATTATTAAATATAACGAATTGATATATCCGATTGATTCCATTTGATTTGTTGATGAATTTCAATTGTTTTTATTTCTTGATTAGAACAACATATACCTGGTGAATAACCACTAATATTTTTAGCAATATTATATTCATTAGCTGGAAGAATTTCTCCTGAAGAAAACTTAACCGTCCAATTGAACATTTGCGCATGAATAAGTTGAGAACCACTTTTCAATGTTTCTTTACTTTGAGCAATACTATCAAAACGATAAAATCCAAATGAATCAGAATTATTTTTTGTTAAATTTAATAGAGGATCAATTTGAAATGAATAAAATTTATCTTCACCTAAGATAATTGAACCATTAGAGTTTCGAATAATATAATGAATATAATCATTAAAAATACTTAAAGAAACATTAATACAACGATTTTCATTGGAATCAATTGAAATACTTCCGGATTTCCATCCTAATCGATCATTTCCGTAAGAAAACCAACGATTTTTCTCCAAATCAAATGTTAAACCAATATCTAGCGAAACTCCATTAAAACGATTGAAAACTCCTAAACTAATATAGAATCCATCAGTAAATTCCGTTAAATTTAAAGGTAAAATAATTGTTGGTAAACAATTAATGAGTTCTGTTGAGATAAATGAAGAATTACAAATAGTATCTACACGATACCATGCACCTGTTCCACTTCCATTCCAAGCTTGAAGACATTTCAATTCATTCTTCTTTATATTCAAGATGATAATTAAAAATATCATAAAGATTTGTTTCATTTTTTAAGAAAGATATAAGAAAAATGATGAAGACCACTATTTGTCTCATTCTTCGTATCAAAATTATAAAGGTATGTTGACAAAATGTCAGAAAAAGTGAGTAGATTCTCTTGTTGGTGACGAACATCTACGTCATAAGCTTTCGTTATCAGTGTGAAGTTAATCTGATGAAACGATATTTTAGATTAAAACTATTTTACTAAAGAGTTCCTATCTAGTCTATAAAATCTAGTCCATTCGTTTTAGAATTTAATTTTCTATCAAATAGAATAGGTTTTATGGACAGAACTTACTGAGTAAAAACGTTTTTAGATAACACATTGATGACTTAATCTTCACCTTACACTCACATTTAAACCTTTGATCTAAAAACGAGAAATATGAGAGTTACTCTTAATGTAATTCAAACTTAAAAAGAAATGAAATCAATTATAATGATCGGTTAGTGATTAATATTGTTAAGTCCGATAAATATACGTTGAATAAACATATTCCATGATGAATCATCCAATCCCAATTGTTTACAATAAATATCATTACATTGACTTGTTTGTCGATAGAATTCAATCGCTTTGTTAATATGTTCAATTATATTATCAGGAAAAAAGTTGCAAAGATCAATCTTAAAGATTTAAAGAAAAACAAAAGATCGAAAAAGAATTCAATTTACTTTAATTTCGTCAATGTTAGATAAAAATTGGTTTGTATACTGATGTAGAGATGGTAATTGAAGTATAAACCAAAGAAGAATGATACCCGTACCAATTAAACGATAAATTTCATTTTGAATATTTAAAGCTTAAAATAATATAAAAATTTATATTTATGAAATAAATCATTTGAATCTTACCAAGTAAATTAAAACCTTGTTTATATAAATAGATTTCAATATGATTTAAATTATTAGGATCAATATGAAACACATTAGCTAAATTTGGATTCAATATAAATGTTCCATCCTATATATTCGAATAAAATAGAAAATAAGTTATATATTTAAGGAAATTTCTACTTCAGATTGAAGTTTTAGCAATTCTTCAATGATTCTTGTTGTAGATTGAATATCTTTCATTTTTCGAAGAAATGTTATTTTAACTTTTTGATCTAAATTCATATATCATTACAATAAAATAGCAAATAAAAATAAATTACCAAATGAAGGATCCAATTTGTCAGAAAAATTATGTGGTATATTTGTAATTTGACCATCGAGCTGAGAAAAGATAAAAACAAAGTGAAATGTTAAACTTTATATTAAATATAAATAAACTAATACAAACCGGATATAATGAATCATTGGATTTATCATCATCATCAACTATAAAATTTGTACAACTTTCTACAAATGTAATATGTTTTTCAATATCTTCTTTGCTCATTCCTATATAAATATAAATAATATTCAATGATAACATTATGAACATATAAAATAATTATCGAACTTGGTTTATCAGAAGAAAGAATAAATAATGCTTTTGCTCCTGAACAAGTTTCTTCAACATCAACATGAAGTATTCCATTGACATCAATATTCATACGAACACCTATTTTAAGTATTTGATCAAAAAAATTATTTGTTAAACCAAAAAGACTAAATTCATCCAAAAACATCTATAATAGAGACAATTGTATTCAAAAAGTTTCTTAAGTTTTAATATTACATACATTATATTTTGTAAGTTTATGTTCACCTTCAAATATACGAATATTAACTGATGTTTGATAAGCATAAGCATTTGTAAATATTTGATAAAATTGTGTTTGTACTGGAATCGTTGTATTACGATGAATAAGTATATGCATATTACCATAAATATCTTCAATACCAAGACTAAGTGGACAAACATCGAGAAGTAATAGATCACAAATATTGAATTTTGATTCAACATTTTTACATGTTAATGTTATTATATCATCTTTATAATGTTGTATCTAAAAGTCAATCATATTTTTATTTAAAAAAGTTCCATGCAGAATTTACATACTGAACTGGCTGAAAGTGAATTTTTCGATTCATTTGCAGAAACTTGCAGATTTTCTTCTCTTTTATCCGCATCAAATGATAAGATGTTTGGAGATATTTCTATGTTCTCAGATCGTTCGTATGATTTTGACTTATCAGAAGTCGATACAGATTTATCAGCTGCATGATTAGACGAACCAAATAAAACTGTCAAATCGACACCTCAAATCATAACATAACATGTATTAACATTAATTTCAGTAGGTTTTGGTTACAAAAAAAAATGTATACCTCCATTAACATCTGCTTCACGAACTATTTCATCAAGTTCTTCATCGGTAAGTTTTTCACCCAAATTTGTCATAACATGACTTTAAAAAAGAAGAAACAGAATAAATAAATTTGCATGTTTATCTTTCTTTCATTACCGAAATTCGTCAATTGATATAATTCCATTACCATTCTTATCAAAAACATTGAATGCTTCGCGAATTTCTTCTTCTGAATCAGTATCTTTCATTTTCCGTACCATCATTGTTAAAAATTCAGGAAAATCAATTGTACCATTACCTAACAATACAAAAAAAAACAATGAATCAAATGAAATTTGATTGATTAAAATCTTACCATCAGCAGCAACTTCATCAATCATATTTTGTAATTCAATTTCAGTTGGATTATGACCAAGACTACGCATTACAGTACCTAATTGTTTTGTTGTAATTGTACCATCACCATGTTTATCAAATAGAAAAAATGCTTCTTTAAATTCAGCTATTTGTTCTTCAGTCAATTGATCAGCCTAGAGTATTTATATATAGAAGAATTCGTCTTATAGTTTCATTCACGTACACTTATTTTAGTATTATTTGCAATTGAAAAGTCTGTGGAATTATGTTCAGCCAATGATTTACTACAAGATAAACGAATTCTGATTTGTTTTTTTGAAAAAGATTTGTCTTTGATTTACAATTGATCGTTTGAGATTATAAAATTATTCGCGAAACATTGTTCTTCCAATATTTGTCGTTCTTCTGCTGTTGCATTAATCATTTCAATGATTATATCTATTCATTTTTTCGATTAAATAAATAAATATTATTAATAAATCGAATGACATACCATGTCGCATTTTTTCTTCAATTTCATCTGCTTGATCATATTCACTCAATGAATAACGATATGTACGTATGATAGTCATCATTGTATTGAATTTTTCATCTCCACCTGTTCGATAGGAAATTTTTTGACAAAGTTTTTCAATATCAACAATTGTTTCCTTTTTGCTCTGAAACGATGCACATTGAAGTAAAATACGTGCATCGATTAATTTTTGTTTGATTAAAGTTAAATTTGATATATCACCATCCCAACTCATATATGGTAATAAATCATTATCTCGTTCAAACATAATATCAAGTAAACGAACATTTCTAATAGAAGATAAATGATTTTGATTGATTTCAATATTACGTTCTTCGATGGCAACAAAACTTGTATATGGACTAATAACACAATGTTTAATACTAAGATCAATAAGATCTCGTTTATATTGAATTTTAATCAATTCATTTTCACTTTCATCTACATTCCATAGACCATTGTCATAATCATTAATGATCGCTCGTGTTGTTAAACAATGTAAAATATTTCCTTTGGTATTTGTTATTGGACTATTAAATACAGTTGTAACAAATTCTTGTCCATTTATAATAGCTGTTAATGTTGCCTTATGACAATTTTCTATGAATCGATAAACAGTAAGTCGCATTCCATTAAATAAAGAACGAATCATTTTTGGTGCTTGTATATGAAACTTTTGTTCTTTATTCAAAGAACCATTCCAATCAATTGATATATTTGTAATACATGGTTGTTGTATCTTATCAAGAATATTTAATACTTTTATTTTCCATTTTGATCGATAATTTGAATCAAATATTGTTAATAAACCACCTCCATTTGCTTCATTTGTTAATTGTTTTAAATTATGTTTATTTGCAATATTACCAATTGAACATGTAAATAAACGATCATGTTGCATAGTTGATTGATGTTTAAATAAAATAAGAATTGAATTAAGATCATGAATATGTCCATCAGATAATAAAATAAATTGACGACCAAAATTTGATGATAATGTTGATGGTAATAATGAATAACGATGAAAAACAGCAAATAGATTTGTACTACCACGATAAACAGGTGAATGCTAAAATTTCAATACATAAAAAATTCAATTAAAATGATAAATTATCGTTACTAGAACAAAATATTTGGCTTTATCCAGATTTTCTTTCGTTGTTAACATTGATATAGGAAAACATTCATCATTATCTAAATGAATATTGATAATTATTCGATAATAAAATAACATTATAGAATTGTATTTTCTTACCTGATCCAAAAAAAATGATATTAAAATATGTTTTTTCATCATCAACTTTCAAATTCATAAGAAACAAATGAATTAATTGTTTAGCTTGTTGTATCTGACTGTTATCCATTGAATTTGATACATCAACAATGAAAATAATTTCAATTTGTTCGTTTGAATTGATTAATGTTTGAAATTGTGGATAAAAAGTAAGCATAGATACTTGAGAATCCTCATTATTTGATATTTCATTTGATATTCGAGGTAAATTAGGATTATTAAGTGTTATTGAAAGAATAAAATCTTGATCAAATAAAATTTTATCAACAAGTTCAATCATAGCAATACAATCAGTTAATTTTCGACGAAGACGATGTGTTGGTGAAAATAATTTTAATATTTTATATGGCATTCGAATTGATACTTTCAAACTAAATTGAATTTTTTCATCGATAATACTAATTGATTGTAAAATTGATTGATCTTTGCTTTCAATCGCTTTTTTCGATTGCCATAAAGCCATTTTAGCTGGAAAACGAAAAATAATATCATTATTTTCAATTTCTAATTCTGCAACATAAGTTATTTTGATAATAACTTCATTATGAGCTGGTAAATTTCCAACAGCAACACTAAATACTTGTGCTTCTTCTTGATGCATTAAATAAGCACCATAACCTTTTTCAATTGCTTGTTTATATTCTTGTTTAGCTTGTTCTTTTTCTTTAACAATACCTTTGATAATTTGATTATTAATATGTGCTTCAAAACCACAAACAATTGAATTTTCATCAAGAGGAAATACATATTTAGCTTCAATTGGAATTGAACTTGTATTTTGATAAACTTGATAAAGAACAACCTTTGTTTTTTTTTAAAATAAAATATAAATATGATAAATTAATTGAATAGAAAAATCGATAAAATTACTTCAACTGTAGTATCGATAATTTGAGCACGAATATGAAATGATTTAAGTGGAATAAGTTTTCCTGTTGATGGACATATTAAACCATAATCTTGTTCAGCTATTTCAATGATTTTATCATCATCAATTAATATTGTAGGAATTTCATTTTTTTTAAATAAATTTTCTTTATCATGAATAATTGATAATCGTTCTAATTCAATATTCAATTCATTTTTTAATATCCATGAAACTTCTACAATATAAAGTAAACGTTGTTGATCAAGTTGATAAATAACATATTCATCATCCTATATAATTATATCATTATATTTAGAAAATCTTATTAAATTGAATTTTTATTGTTTAATTGAAACTTACATTAAATATTGAATGATTATCTTCAGTTTGTTTAATTCCATGTGTACTATGAAAACCATGAGGAGGTTTGATAAGTGTTGGTGAAAATGAATAATAATCAGCTGATTCACCAAGTGCTACTTGACAAATACATAATAAACGACGACCTGATCGTATTGTACTTTCTGTTGTATATTTTAAAGATGTTGAAGCAGAATTAGAAAAGTAAATACCATGTCCAAGACAACCAATATCAGTACGATCAATACCGAATTCTTCAATTACCATTTTTGGCATTGCTAAACCTCTAAATATATATAATTTGTTGTATAAAAATCTTTTCTAAAAATTAAATAAATACTTTACCGTGAAAGAATTCCAAGAAAATTTGAATATTTCGATCCATGAAAAAGTTGTTGTTGATTGGATAATGTTGTAGAAAAATTGAGAGTATCTGTTTGTTTAACAACATTGAATATATTATGAATAATAATTTGTTCATTCCTATAATAATAATAAATAATCATAAAATTGTTTATGTAGAATTTGTTCACCTATTTGTAGATGATTGAATAAAATTAAAAATATTCTGAAATTCAGATGTTGAATTTGACATTGTTTCAATATGACATTTTAATGATCGATATTTTGCTTCAATTGATGCTTTTACATTCCAATTAGTTAGTTCATTAACTGTTAACATATCTCGAAGCATCTCAATAAGAGAAGAGAAATAAAAAAAAGAAAAGAAATTTTTCAAAAAAATCATTTTACTTGACACAAGTCGAGTTTTTCAATTAATATTCGACGATTTTTAATAAGATCAATATGATATTGTGATCGATGTGGTATTAATGAATAAAAACGATCTGCAACATCAGGATTATTAGTTAATTTGAGTTCAAGTAATGCCGCTTCAGCTTCAATAATCTATTTAATAATTTTAAATCATAAATTTATAGAAATATTTTTGTAAATACCGTTTTAAGATTAAATAATTCAGGTTTTATACTTAAAATTTTATTCAAATCACCAATTGATTCTAACCAAATTGATTCAATTAATTGACATACATTTTCATCAAGTATTTGTGTATCAATACGATGATTAAATAATGACTAAAAATTTTAGAAATTCATTTTTTTTTCCCTTCTTTTTGTTTTAAAATCTTATTTCTTTACACGTAATAATAATTTTGATCCTAATTGATTATGTAATATTTCACGGATTCGTGTTATACNCTTGCATGAAGTAAAGTATTTGCAGATATTACACGTTCACTCATTGCTTTTACATATCGAACCAATTTAAAATAGTTTAAAATAATTAATAAAATAGGAATTCCATAGATAGAAAATGCCATATAGATTAGAAGAAAAGAACGATGAAGAGGTAATTGACAAATTTGATTATTTACATTGTAAATGATATTATTCGTTAATAAAAATGGCAATGGACATATAAAACTAAATATCCATGATAAACAAATAATAAATCCTTGGAAACGAACAGATCGAAAATATAATCTTGTTGGATAAATAATAATAAAATATCGATAACAAGCTTCAACAACATTCGAATAATTTTGTGCAGCACCTGATGCATAAATCATATAACCTCGAAAAATACAAAGTAAATCTTCATATTGAATTTGTTGAAGATCATTTCGAAATGTAAATATACTTGAACCAAGTAAAAATAATCCAAGTATAAATGTACTAAATAATCTATTAGTAACAAACATCATTTGTACTGTATGACATGTTTTATTTATTGATATTACAATTAAAAATATCATAGTAAGTATTACACTTAATGTCATGAAAATAATCATCACAACATCGAATGGAATAAACCACAATTCATTACTTCGTAATGTTAAATTTTCACCAACTTGACTCAAAATAGTAAAATTCATTTGGTAATTTTATCGAATAATTTTTACAAAAAAACCAGACATTTTTTCTGTTCTTCTTCAAATTATTACCTATTCGTTAATATCTCATGCATAATAATTTCATAGATGATGATGTCTATGTGTGTGTTTACTATATTATTAACAGTTCGCTTTTTTTTCTTCATAAAATATAAAAATGCATCGAGAAAACGTTGAACATCATTGCTTTTCCGATCTGAAAACTTTAGTCTAATTAGAAACTTCTCAATAATTCTCTTCAATCTACTCATATACAGAAAATAAGACATTTTTCATTCCTATTTTAACAATAAGAAAACCTACAAAAAAAATATTTCAATACATCGTTCTTTAAATAAAATATGAAAAATGAATTATCGAATTATCGATAAAAGAAATTACTGACTTATTAATTATCTTAATATATTTTTATGAAAAAAAAGCGAAATGTTAACAAAAGAATACTTTTGTCATAGAAATGTATATCAATCAGAAAATAAAAGATAAAAATTGACATATAACTGAAGTGTAATTAAGAGGATGTGACTTGAAAATAATTTCACAAAAAGTAACAAAATTAGAATACCACAATAAATAAATAATTCATGAAGAATTGTTAATGAAAGATTAAATTACAGACTTATTGAGATAAATAAAACGAATATTTTAACGTACAAAGAAAAATCGATTAAAACGATGAAATTGAAACGAAGATAAAAGCGATCTCTGTTGAAATTAAAGAGAATATCTTTTCAATTGGATTAACAAAAGAAAATAAAGAAAAGAAAATCTGTATATTTTCATTGTTAACTGATCTTTGTAATCTATTCAAATATATCATTTGTCTTCATTATATTTTTAAAATAATGAATTCTCAATCAGATATTTCGATAAATGAACAAATAAAAGAGAACAAAAATATTTTCTCGGTTTTGCAAATCAATGATAAACAATCGACGGTGAGTTTGATATTGTTGCATATGATAAAATTTAGAATTAAATCCACATTCGCTGATAGTTCTCTTCTTAAAATCAATATTGTTTCTCATATAGAATGTTTTGTCATTGGATATGGAATCACACATCAATTCCAAATCGAATAATATGATTCATTTTCAATTATTCACTGAACTAATCGATATCCATAAGAAACGTGTGTGTAAACAACGAAAACACATTCTTCTTACTTGTGGTATCTTTATCATCATTGGTTTTCTATTATTTATCACATCATATTTAATATCTGAATGTAAGAATTCATCTGATCAATGTTCATTAGTAAATACTCTACTCTTTTCATTTGGTATTACAATATTTGGATTTGCTATTTTTATTGCTTCTCTTATTTGTTGTATTTGGCCTTTTTATATGAAAAGATTGTTTAAAGGTTTAGATTATAATGAAATTGGTGGAGATATGATCGTTTGGAAATTTGATGATGATGAATGGATACGATTTTTAAATTATATTTTTGGTCCAAATCAAAAAGGAACAAATGCTGATTATTTTACATTCTTCTGTTGTCGTCGTCAATCGTATGAAGAATTGATCAATCGTCAATATGGACATGTGATTTTATATCGAAATGGTTTCGTTATTGATCAATTATATTTTGTTCCATTTCGAAGATATAATTTAATTAATACAGAATTGAAATATTTCAATGAAAATCTTTCCATATCAGGATTAAGATTTCAAACGTATCTTCAAGCAGGAAAACATAGTCGAATGGTTTATTTTGATATATTTGCACCATCATCAATTACACAAAGTCAATTAATGGGATTAGTTTATTTATATAATAGGAAAAAAATCGATCCCGATGTATTGAATATGGATCGTGTCTATAATTCATTATTTGCATAACATTTTTGAAACGATCATTGTTCACATTAGAATATAAAACTATTCAACATTACTTTGATGACTCTTTTTTTTTATAAGGAAACTAAATAAAACATTCTTTGGATGAGAAAAGTCTTTTAACAAAAGAAGAAGAATATTTTATTGTTTCATTTTTCGAATAATATTATGTTACTAATTGAATAAATTTAATCAATTCATGTTTTATCTAATCGAATGAACTAGATCAATAAATAATCATTATATCAATACTCTAAGTGATAGGAAAATATCCACATATAGAGTGCGTGTTTGTATGCAAAGATATTTCATTGACTAAAATTTTCGCATTATAGATGATTCCTTCATTAGAGAATAATACAGATCTTCTTTTTTTGTCATAAGTTTAAGATCTTTACTCACACATTTTTTTACTATTCTAATTGCACTTTCTTGAAAAGCTGTTTTCTATCATGTTAATTGCGATCTTTCATTAAGAAAATTTGATTAATAAATGATTTTCACTAAGTTTCTTCTCCAATAATTTCAGTCTTAAAAATATCTTTTGATTCAAACGCAACTCCGTAATGCTATGAATAGAATAACACAACACACACACACACACTCCTGTATTACAATAAATAGAAAATCTTTGAACAACAATCAATTCTTGTAATGTATTCTCAGCATGACTGCAACATCTTTAGACAAAGTTTTGCGAATGACGTTCTTTCGGATAAAAATATTTACCTGATATCTATTACCTTTCTTCAGATCTTTCGTCATTCAGTGAAACTTCACGTTCGAACGATGAAAACAGTGAGAATCAATAATCTTGAACCGACGAAAAAGAATTTCTATGGAAGTAAAAGTTCGTTAT